GTGGCACAGCTCCCTGGCTAGGTGCTTCCAGATTCCAACAACATCATCTACCTTAGTGTACTATCAAAGACTACTTTTGTGTATGAAAGTTGAGAAGCACTGACAGAGTACATGTCAGCCAAGCCAGGCATAGTGGGACACACCTGTAATCCTAGCACTCAGGAGACCCAGGCAGGAAGATCACAAATTAGATGTCAGCCTGGGCTACACAGCTGAAATGAAGATAAAACACAAAAGCAAGCTGGGCAACGGTGGCACACATATTTAATCCCCATACATGTGAGGCAGAGGCAGGCAGATCCCTGAATCCAGCCTTGTCTACAGAATGAGTTCCAGGACAGCCAAAACAAAACAAAAAACAAACAAAAATAAAAAATAGCTGGGCGTCGGTGGCACACGCCTTTAATCCCAGCACTGGGAGGCAGAGCCAGGACGATCTCTGTGAGTTCAAGGCCAGCCTGGGCTACCAAGTGAGTTCCAGGAAAGGCGCAAAGCCACACAGGGAAACCCTGTCTCGAAAAACCAAAATAAATAAATAAATAAAAATAAAAAATAAAAGCAATTACAACCTCAGCTTTAAATTTATATCCTCTAGTAAGAAACTAAAGGGCTGACCTTACTTGATTTTATTGTATATAAAAATTATTTCACTGCTATCAAGTGATTAAATCCCACATTACATGTGCACAGTGTGGCATGTTTTTAAAATACAGCTTTGATTGCAGCTTAAGTAATATCTTCTTCAGCAATAATAATACCCCTGTAGCAAGATATGGAAATCTAATCTTATCTAAAAATACTTGCTGAGTTAATGAATACATTTGATCATTTAGTTATAGTGTTATGTTTAATTAAGTTACTTTGAAAAGAGCTAACTTTTGCTGTCAAATGGTCAGGAAATAAACTTTTCGCAAAGATACAGAAATAGAAACCACACCAAAGTGTCCTTCAAAGAGTCTGCTATGGAGCTGTTAGACCGCTCAGTGGTTAAGAGCAAGAACTACCCTTGCAGAGGACCCCGGTTTGGTTCCCAGCACCCATGTCAGGAAGCTCACAAGCACCTATTAACTCCAGCTCTAGCAGATCAGAAATGGCCTACACAGGCACCTGCATTCACATGCACACACCCACACAGAGACACACAACACACACACAATAAAAATAAATCTTCATCAAAATGCTAGTTCCCTAAAACATTATCAGATACTTTGAAATACATACAAAGGTCAAGCTTTGCCTTTAATTAAAACAGAAAGGGTCAGTTCCCCAGGTTAACCAGAAGACAAAGGAATAAAAAAAAGCCTGGTGCGCTGGAGTCTAAGGTTGTGGTTGAAGCACAGAACAGGCATAAAAAGCATTTTCCCCCCTGTTGAAGGCACAGAGTAAACACCAAAAATATCAATCTCTCTTGGAAACAAACCTACTTTTTCCAAATACTTGAAGTGTAAAAGCTAAACAGCTCTCCTGCCAAAGCCAAATACAACCACAAGTGTGGTGGATCCTAATCTTTATTTTTAGTCTTAAATAATGCTTCTATCTTAAGATAGATCATCTTCGAGAGGTCCTAACAAACAATGTCTTAATACAGATAGAAATGTTAGAGCAATCATATAGCCCATCTGCTGTCCAACTGGTGCTCCACAGTTCCTTTTTTGGCCTCAAATGACGAAACTTCTCTAACGTCTCTGGGGAGAGTGCAAAGTATAACGTTTCCTGAAATTGTTCTTGTTTTTGCTGCACCATTTCGTGACATCTCTTCAACCAGAAACACTCCTTGCAGTTTTATTGTTCTGCAGGCGAGGCCAAAGGGACACGCAAATGCAAACAGTGTTGCAGGGAAAGCAGGTTGAAAGACACAGTCAAAGATGGAAAAAATGCGCAAGAATGAAAAACATTTCCAGCACAGAGAAGCGCCAACAATGAGATCTTGCTTATTCTTCTAGAAACAAAAGCCAAATATTCTTCTAAGGAAAATGTGGTTTCTCTCTTTACTCAAGAGGATGTTAAAACTCCAAAAGGCATTCCGCTGACACTCTACAAGAGTTCTGCCCTCTCTTCTATGTGCTTTAACACCGCTAGCCCTATCTGTAAATTAAACGCCAGCTATAGATAATGCAATCTCTAGAAACTACAATTGTGGTTGCCATCTTTGCCTGAAAAAAAAAAATTTTTTTTTTCCCCCTTGGATTTGGAAGGGGGGAAAAAAGGAGTACATTAAGTTGGAAGGCAAGGAAAACCACCGTCACGGGTTAACAGGCGCCTTCTACCAAACTAAGGTTTTAAAGGTCTGGGGAAGAAGGGCAAAGGAGCCACGGCCTTACCGAGTCCGCAAGGGTGGGGCATCCTAAGGAAAAAATATATATACATATATTAAGAGAGCGAGTTTCTCCCGAGGCCGAGGAGCGGGCCCACAAGCTCGCACCCTGGGTGGCACAGGACGCTGGGGACACAGGCGAAGGGCGGCTTCGGAGGAGCCGTGGGCTGCCGGGGAATGCCCCGGAGTGCGGGCTGACAGGAGGAGGCACCCACGGGGCACGGGATGAAGATCGAAGAAGAGCAAGCCGGGGCCGGGCGATGCGAGGCTGCGCGTGGGAGGCCGG